GGGCTTTTCATCGGCCTTGCTAAATACGCTGCCAGGTAGGGAGTTAATGAACTGCTTTGAGACAACTGTGTCATGACAGACCGCACCCAACTGGAGACATTGGTCTTCTTGACTCTATGGAAGAACACCATCACAGTAGCGACTACAACAAACTGATCGTTCAGAAACGACGCTCGAAGACCAAAGAGACCGTATCTTCCGAGACCCCTCTCACAACTGGGAGGTCCTCATCGCCGCCACTTCAATAGTGGATGATGACTTGTAATCGTATTCCCACATTATTTGTAGCTATAATACTAGGAGCTGACTATGAGTATCAAATTTCATCATGTGTGGATGGCTTTTGAGTTGAATAGTATAAAACACGACGCGGACTGAGCTGGTACTTCTAGGCAATATGGGAAAATATGCACGTGGGCAACCACAATATAAAAAAATCATGGAAATTTTTGGGAATTCGAAATGATTCTTCTACATTTCCGCCCGTACTAGCGTGCAAACTTGTGGGTGAACTCCTGAGCTGAGCTGAGGAAAGCGAATATATATTCCAATATCGCTCCCCAACCTTGATTGGCCTTCGTAGAGGCTATATGATCAACAAAGAGTGTATAATCGTTGGAGGCTTAGAACGTTTGGTCCATGCCTTGACAAAGGCTCTGATGACCAGATTTAATAGAGTATATAAATTACAAATATCTCTGGAAAGAGGGTACCAAGTTGTGAAATATGTAGATCAGATATGAAGGTGAGTATAAATCAGCGCGATCGGATGAGTTGTAAAAGCAGTCAAGATAGAGCAACAACTTTTCGAACCTAGGCGATGTTATTGAGTAAATGGATGTAGTTTCGACTACAATGGAATTGATATGATACTACGGAAACTCAACAAAGCAAGCAGTGTTGGTTACATCAGATCTCACACGTACAACAATGGACAAGTGTTGGCGATACAACGGAGGTTCATAAGGACACCGAATGACTTCATGTTTTCATCGAACTGGCCGAATGAGGCGGAAACAGATGTGAGCTCCTAAGGGATGAAAGCATGCGACGAACGTTAGTTGGGATATTCCGATGGCCCACAGTATCAGCCAATCGTCTTCTGCTCTTCCCAACCTGAACCACACGTGAAAGAATCTTACAGGCTGGTGAATTGCACTCACGTAGATGCACTCCTTGGTGTAGCCGGCCCCTCTGGGTCAACCCTGAAACATGAGGAGGCACTAACATGTAAGGTTGCCTTTTGATAGTAACTCACATGACCCAGTCTTCAGGGCCGATCTCCTCCCTGATAGAATAATAACACTCCGATGAGAGCACATGAGGAGACGGGGCCTACCTCCTTTTTTCCCTTAGTACGATGAATCTCGAACCCTGTCGTTTAAGGAAGAGGATGTACTCGCCCTCCACAGCGAACACTACTGCCTGGCCGAAGACCTCTCTGGTGGGGCTCCCCGCGGTCATTAGGCGACATGCCTCGGCATTAGCTTCTGATGAGCCGCTGAAGCCTACCGTAACTGTTTCCTCATCTAGATAGAGACCCTTCCTAACATATATCACATCAGTTATTGTGCCCTTCATTGAGGAGGTAGTCGTGTTTAATAACAAGTCTAGCGTCACTTCTGGTTCATCGCTCTTGAAAACTATCTTCATCGGAGGAGTACTAGATGGCAGTGACACAGGGGTGACACGTCGGAGGAGCATCCCATCGCAAGCCTCCGCCTCACACGCGTAAGAGTTGTCAAACCGTTTGGGTAAACTGAACAAAGTGTCACCAGTTAAGCTCACCAGACCAGGCACGTGTAAACAAGATTTTCCGACGGTCACAATAGCGTGGCCGTATTTCACCGGGCACGAGCCGCTCTTATAACGGACGGTTCTGATGACCGGAGGGTCTGCCGTCTTGGTCCTCCTCAATACTAAAGAGCTGATACTGAAGTGACTTGCTGGGGCCTCATCGACCGGTGTTTTGGTGAGCTCAGTGATGTGCGAGATCAAGTGACTCAGCCTCCACGCAGTGAACACCTTTCCATCGTGGACATTGGCACTTTCCACTGCACATAGAACCCTTGGGCTAGTAAGAGGGCTACAGTAGAGCCTTCCAATCTGAGCTCTCACACTAGAGGTATGATAAATGAAGCATACGAGTAGACATCGCATGGGTGTCATGATCCAACAAAGAGACAAACTCAAAGACTGGGAACAACTGCAGGGGGGGGGATTGGTAAACTAAAGTTGATTGTCACATGCTCTATAACGAACGCTCAGAAGGTCTTCCCACTCGGCGAGGTGATCAATGACGTCACATGATCGTATCTGGCAAGGCCGGGCTGGAATTAGCGTTCGAGAGCAACTGCCTGCTCACTTCCCAGGCCCCACATGAGGCCCTGTGGCGCTGCTGGTCCTAAGGGCGACCGCGTTCTTCCGACCCTCCTCTCGAGCGACTGTGAAGGCTGGGGACTTCAGAGAATTGTTGAAATCGTTACAGTACCTACGAACAGAGATGTCTCACGAAATCGTTGAGACCTGAGGAGAGCTTTCGCGACGACTACGATCGACTCACCGTTTCTCCTCAATCTTATAAGCATCAGGACCAGGCGTGGGCCTCCACCAATAGCCTCTACAATTCATATGATACTTTTCCCTGCGATCCCCCAGAGAATAGCTGGGAGCTCTTCTAGACTGCATTCCCAGATCCTTATCACCACCAAAGTAGTGACTAGCACCAGGGCCCTCAGCCGAAGAGTCTTGCCCAAAAGGGTATCTAGGGTCCAATCCAAGCACACACGGACGAGAGGCATCCCTCACGCTTGGGCATGGTAGAGCTTCGAGTGGCATCTCTCAGGGAACCGTGGAGCTTGAGAGAGGCCGAAACTAAGTGCTGAGAAATCACTAAGGGAATTGCTGGCCAGGCCCCCGACCTAAACCGCGGAGCATGCCTTGTCGTTTGTGAGGCCCCAACACTGATAGTAGAAGGCTCCTCGTAGGCTCCTGGCCCCGGGATGTTATGGACCTAGAGAGGGCAGTGTGTGGGGGGGGGGGGTATGCAGATGGTCAACTACACGTATCGGTGACAATGTGAAAATTCCGAGGAAATTCTCGTTGGTTACTGTACACTTCTACCCAAATTCCTATAATAGGTGAGGAACCTCAGCAAACATCTATTCCAACACCGACAAAGAGTACTCGAAATATCCTCACTGTAGTCCCTTACCACACTCTGAGAACTTTCCACATAAGATGCCCTCGAGTAAGCCAGGCGATATGGTATCTACAGAGAAGCTTACTCCATGGACGGCAGGCGTACCCACTTTGAATTTCCCAAGGACATGTCGAGGAGCTCCAAAACTGTATGCAGGTGCTGCTGCCAGATGAGAGGGCCGCTGCTGAGGACCGACTTGGCAGCAGCAACTGCTACTACGAGTCAATAATGCTGGGCCTGAGACGCGATCGTTGCCACGCTCTCTACCGTTTACAAGACGTCTCCAGTCTTACTTGCGGCTAGCTCCACATTAGTTTCACTACGACTCCTTGATATACCATAATCGGGCATTCTCCTTGACAACACTCTGTATGTAACCGTTTATCCTATCTAGGTTGAATCTTGTGACTTCCTCCCACTATGTGACAACACAACAGCTATTCGACTTACGAAAATACAAGTAATGCACCGATGATTGATGATGACGACGATGATCTCGTTGAAAAATTATAACAACAACATGCACTACTCAGTCTTCTCGCCAGCGACCGGGTCCTCACAAGACCACTTCGGGGTAAATCTACCGGGTAACATGCTCATGCGGAAGACGATGAAAGTCTGACCGTTTAGTGGCTGCCGTGAATGTCTCAAGTTCGTCCTCGAAACCTTTCCAATACTTCTCTCGATTTTTCATTGTTTTCTCTCCAAGTGCCTTCACAGCCTACCCAAGGCCACTTCTTAGCATCACCCCTGCACAGGGGCTCCCACCTTTTCAGTGGCACTGCTGAGATCAACATTGATATGCGTGAGGCCCGACTTTGAGAGCATGCCCAGCAGAGGGCGTCTAAAATGACCAACTCTCGGATCAGCTCCAGAGGCTCCCGACCCATCTCACAGTATTTGGACTTTCCCTTTGCCTTGCTCCAGTGCGCCAAAGTCTATATGTGTGATCGTCCTCCAGCGTATTGGCAGGTCTACCAGCATTTCGAGGTGCTCCTGGTTGAAGGCTTGCAGAAATGATGATGTTGGGCAAGTAGGAAATCTTATATACCTAATGAAGTCTGGGTCCGACTCGAGACGCGAACAGAAGAGAGCTCCGCAAACCTCAGCAGATTTTTTGCGTTTTTCAATGCATGCAAGAAGGTTCGTATAGAAGCCTCGTCACTGAGGACCTGAGGAGGTCGCGGGTTCGACACCCACACCTGTCGTTTTTCACCACCTCTTCAGGAATCTCCACTCCACTGGGCTTATCTTCATCACTCAGAGGTCCGCAAGCAATATGAAGCGTCGTTATATTCTCTTCATCATCAGCACTCAGTCGG